TTCTCTGACGATTCAATTGTTACACACCCCTACACACCGCTCGTTTGGTACAGACATTTATTTTCTATTCCTCGTGAAAAAAAAATAACCGTAATTGTGCGCAATCGTACGGAATGTCGATCGTGCGATGTGGTCCATCGCAATCACTTTCCCCTCTCGCTATTGCGAATCCACGTGATCGCTGAACGCCATCGCGGTGCCGTGTACGTCGTTTAGAATTTTCGGAATCGATACGCCCACGTCGTAATACGCACGCTCGTTGCATTACGGAAATTAGTCGCGGAGAGAGAGAGAGCAGACTCTTCTGTTCACGTTATCCGCTGTATGTCAGTGAGTCGCGATCGAATGCACCACACACAGCGGGTTGCGCAAAGAGGAGCTGTCGAATTCATCGATGGAGGGAGAGAGAGAGAGAGCACGGACTCTCCTGTCCACGTTACGCGCTGTATATCGGTGAGTCGCCATCGAGCGCACTATGAACAGCGTGTGACGGAGAGAGGAGCTGTCGAATTCATCGAGAGAGAGAGAGAGAGAGAGAGAGAGAGAGAGAGAGAGAGAGAGAGAGAGAGAGCGTGGATTCTTCAGCCGTGCGATAGCTTTTTCCACCGTGCGTCGCGATCGATCGTAAGTTGGCAAAAGCTTGACACAGAGAGAGAAATCTCCGAGAGAGATTGAATTCCATTGGTTCGATCGAACTCTATTAGTTTTTTTCTCTCCTTCTTTTTCCTGCTACTTTACATCTGTATCAGCGCTATCGATCGACGCGCATTGCGTACGAGAAGAAAAATAATACACGCGTCCTCTTTCTCCGACGACTCAATTGTCGCACACCCCCCGCTTGTTTGGTACGGACAATCATTTCTTCCATTTCTCGTGAAAAAGAACCGTACTTTTTTGCGCGATCGTAAGGAATGTCGACCGTACGAGGTCTCTTCCGATCCGTTGCGTTCACTTCCCTTCCTCCCGCTATTTAGATTCCAAATGAACGCCATCGCGGTGCCGTATACGTCGCTTGGAATTTTCGGAATTGATACGCCCGCGTCGCAACACGCACGCTCGTTGCATTACGGAGAGAGAGAGAGAGAGAGAGAGAGAGAGAGAGAGAGAGAGAGAGAGAGAGAGAGAGAGAGACGACGACG